ATTAGCTTTTTCACGGTTGGTGTTTGCTTGTTTTGGGCGTGTCTGAAGATTTCTCAGGCTAAATTGACTATGATCTCTTACCAATGCGACCTAAACGAGTGCTACTGTGAAAGATGTTGTTCCATGAAAGATGTTGTTCCAGGACGACGACGACCGACGACTACTGCAGCAGCTGCACGGCTGCTACCACATCTACCGCTCCGCTGCTACTACTTATTGCTGCTTCTACTACTACTACCCTGGGCATCGGTTATTGATTCTAATCAATAAGAAGTAGATATTTTACATTGATATTGATTTGGTTGTCTTTTATTGATTAAATCAATAGGGGGCATATTGATCGACATATTGATCTCCATATTGATTCGAAGCGCTAGTTTCCATTGATCTGAATATTGATAAAAATATTGATTTGAATATTGATAAAAATATTGATTTGAATATTGATTTGAATATTGATTTCGATGTTTAATATACATGTCTTGGTTTTGTTTAAATAACATGGAGCATGCATGCGAGTTGCCATGCCCCGTCATTTGGGGCTCGCAGCATTGATCGACCCCTGCGAGATACCGGGTTTGGCTTCTAGGTTTAAGGGTTTAGGATCGGTTGTTTAGGGCTAGGCCCGGGCCCATCACGATTCATAAATTGGGTTATATATGCATGCTTTCAAGATCGTAGGTATAGGGGTGAATCGCCATGGCCTGCTTTTGAGCAGATCTACTTGACAAGTTTTGGGTTTGAGGCACCTTGACAAAAGGCGGCCTCGAATCGTACGTTTTTGTTAGTTTCCTGCCCGGGTCAAGTTTGGAGGACGCCTTGCCAAAAGGCCTAGCCATGGGAGGCAGAGGCGGACACCGACACACAGCCAAGCCACAGATCGATGCCTCGCGAATGTATAATGTATCGTTAAGCAAGACCCAAGCCTGCCACCCGGCGGGCCTCATGCACGTTCTCGAGTTGGTGGAGTCTCTGATTTCCCTCGAGCCAACCGGGAAAATCCACGACCGATCTTTCCGAACTGCCTTGTTCGACCTGCTGCTGCGAGATCCAAGTCTCAACACCACTGTGTATAACGGGAAGGTTTGGATAGGACTCAAGGTGGCGAGATTTTCAGTCATTTTGTACCACTTTCGCCGCTTAAAGCAAACCTCTTCCGACCTCCGAGCTTGTGCGGGGAAACTCAAAAGTGCCCAGTTCGTTCGGCTGTGCGATGTTGTTGCGAAGATGGTGAAGAAGGAGGGCCAGGCAGGGGAAGCCAAAGAAGAGCCTGAAGAGGGAGGGGCTAAGAAACGGAAGCTGGCAAAGTTTCCGAGCGATCCTGTGTCGCTGGATTCCGACGGCTTCCCGAATTTCAGTGGCTTGGACGCATCCTTGTCGAAAGGGTCGCCATCCAAAGCGGTCGCCTTGGCAAAAGGTACGGCAAGCTCGCCATCCAAAGCACTCGCCTTGCCCAAAGGTGATAGTGATAGTGAGCAGGGCGACGATGCAGCAGCTCTTGCCCCAGCCTCGTCCTTCGTGAGAAGAAGGAGGGGCTGCAAGATCTTAGCCTCGGAGGCCAAGTCGTCGAAGACCCCAGCAGAGCTGCAGAAAGACATGGGGTTTCATGTGGAAGAGGAGACAAAGAAAAGTAAGGAAAAAAAAGAAAAAAAGAAAGGAGCTTGGCAAAAGCCCCTCCGCCAAAGCGAAAGCGCCGAAACCTTCAAAGAAGGGGCCTGCTGCAAGCCCCTCTGGCAAGGCCAAGGCCAAGGCCATGCCGAAGAAGAAGGGGCTTGCCAAAAGCCCCTCTGGCAAGGCGAAGGCAATGCCCAAGACAAAAACCCGACGACCTGGTGCCCCTCGCAAGTGGTATCGCCTTGGCATTACTCGTGCCACCAATCCGGAAAGGGCTTACATCCTCGGCACTTTGGACCCATCTCCGAAGGCCAAGAGGAGACTCATCATCGAAGTTAGCAGGCACCGGTCCGAGCTCTACCAGGAGCGCATCGAGACACTGCTCAAGATGATCACTGAAAGAGGCCTTACCAAGGAGCAGGCCTGGGAGGAACGAGAAAAGCTTTGCAATGCCTAGTTGTAGCACCCAAGGCTTTTTGGGCACCTTGATAAAAGGCTGGCTTTTGAACACCTTGCAGAAAGGTTTCCTTCACCTTGAGAAAAGGTTTGGCAGGGCAACTTTGTTTCACTATAGCTGTATGCTTGGATTGTGGCCCACCCGAAACATCGTTGATCCAGAGGCCATAGTACATGAGCCAAGCAGTTTTTGGATTTTAAGCTTAATACGTATAAGAATATCCGAAAGGATCATATAATTTAAGTTTGTGTTTGGGCAACCGGTTTCAAGCTTCAGCTGCCGGAGGCTAGCTTCGTGCAAAAGCTTGTGCAGCAACCGCAAAGCCGTGAAAAGTTGGGCCGAAGCCTGGAGGCATCTGGACACAGTGTGTTTCTAGATGTTGTGAAAGCAATGTACGTGTGCACAGATCTTATACGAGGGTGAAGAGGTATATGATAACCTTAGGCAGGGACCTCGAAATAACCCATGCATAGACAACCCTAGCCACACACTGGCAGGTGTATTTATATATACATATATGCACATACATACATATATGTTTTTTATGTGTTCGGTATTCGGATAAAGGCGACATGTATTTTACTTCATGTGTTCATATGCTGATAGTTTTCGAAGCTGTTTATATGTATACCTGTATATGTGTATATATATAGGTGTATATGCAAGTTTTTGTATATGTCTATGTTCATGTCTATGTCTATGTTTATGTCTGTGTATGTGTATGTGTATGAGTGCTAGAGATATATAGAGACAAAAAGCTTCCCACAGCTTAGAAACTGTAAGCCCTGAAGCAATCAGACTCCGAGTGCACATAAGATTTGGCAAGAAGTGCAAACAATAGGATTCCGTGCAGCTTGAGGATTGGCAAAAGGCGAAGCACCTTTAATCCCAAACGAAACCCCAGCTCCAAGCCCGAACCCCAAACCCTAAGAAGAGGAGCCGTCCGGATCGAAGTTGCTGGCTCAAGTTTCAGCAGCAAATGCAGCAGCAAAAACAGCAGCAGCCATAGGCAACTACCACGACAAACAGTACTGCTACTGCTGCCACCACTATACCACTACCGGGTATCCCACTGCCACCAGCATGACCACTACACCTTAGCAGCACTAACAGTAGCACCACCACAGGCCGCACAAGAGCCACGACAACCACAACAGTAGTAGTAGCAGTAGCAGCAGCAGCAGTAGCAGCTTAAACCCTAAACCCCTAAACCCTGACACCCTGAACCCTAAACCCCTAAACCCCGAAAATTCTTACGCCTTATATAAGTGTAACAAACCTTGAACCCTAGACAGAATGTCGTGGCGGGAAGAGCCATGGTGGTCCTGGAGCAGCGGTTGGAACCAGCCCGTGACAAAAACGGACTGGTGGTGGGACTGGTGGGACTGGTCGGACCAAGGTTGGGACTGGGGGACTCGAAACCTTTCCTGAGAACGCAAACATCTGCCGACATGCCTAAACTCTCCAATGCAGTTGTGCCTTTGGCTACCTGACGTTTCTTTGACCAGACAATTCCCTAGCAACAACACAAGGAACAAACTGCCGGCATTCTTAAAATCCTAAACTCCTAAACCCTAACCAACCCCTAAAGCGTCGAGATTTTCTTTCAACGGCATCCGAGGTGCGGTACGGTACCGGTTTGTTTGGCAGGAAGCAGTTCTCTTCCAAACAGGCCTGCAGTTGTTAGAACACTCAGCCCTAACTAAACTCTAAACTCTAAACCCTTCCTAAACTCTATATATCTCTATATAAGAGGACTTGGGAGAGAACTCGGTGGTGGTTTGTTTGGACGGGAGTCGGGGCCGTTTTGGTTTGAGGCTGGTGCACTCAGGGTATTCTTTGAGGTGGTGTGCCGTCAGCTTGCCAAAGTGCTCCGGGATTCGTGATGCGCCCGCTTTACGATACTGCTTAGGCTATTTAGGACATCGCTGAAAGCCTCTCGTGCCTGAAAGCTCCATGTGTATGTATGTATGCATGCTTGCATGGTGGATGAATGGATGAATGGATGGATGGATGGATGGATGGATGAATGGATGCATGGATGAATGAATGCGTGGATCTATGTGTTTCTGCAGTATGTCTAGACTTAGGCCTTAAAGCGGTTCCCATAAGCACTTTCAGGCCTAAGCTATACTACATAGTCACATGCAGCCGCAGGGTTGTACCTCTCGGATATATGGTGACAAACGTGCTGCCCTTGCACAAGGGGGACTCAGGGCTTGCGTCGCACGTTAAGGTTTAGGCGGGGTATACCTTAATCTACCAAAGCCTACTTTTTTGTAGCCCTATAAATTCCATATTAGGGTTTAGGGTTTATAATAAGAACCTACAAGAAAGTAGGGTTTGGTAGTTTGAGGTAGGGTTTAGGGCTTGGGCGCTCTTTGAGAGTTTGAGGTTCGCCAGCATGCGGCAAAGCGGTTATTGGGGGTGTTTGGACGGTCTCGGCGAAAATCCCTGAACCCTACCTTAAGCGACTGTGCAGATTTTACTCCAAAAAAATACTGTTTAATATCGAAAATCCCTGAACCCTACCTTAAGCGACTGTGCAGATTTTACTCCAAAAAATATTGTTTAATATTGTTGATTTCCAGTACATAAGTCTTGAAAAATGTAGGTTCTTCAGGGCTCAGGCAAAACATAAACCCTGAATCCCAACTGCTGCAACTCTCCACCCTCAGAACCTAGACCTTAAAACCTAAACCTCTAGATATCCTGAACCCTGAACCCTCGGCTGGGCGATGAGCCCACAAAATGAAACAACCTATGCTATGGGGTGATGCACCCCCTTGTGAAATGTGGGATATATAGGGTAAAACCTTAACATACAAAAACCTGCTTTTGTGGGTTCATATGATAAACCCTAACATGGTTGAGGTGGTGGCTGGTTATACCCACGTCTGCCCTCCCCATGCTTCTTTCGCCGGAGATCGATCATCTTCTTGATCTCCTCGTAGCCGTCGTTCAGCACCGTCTGCTGTACACGGGCCTGTGCGGCCAGCTTTGGGGTCAGGGGCTCAGGTGGCTTTGCGGTTTAGGGTTTAGGGTTCAGGTTTCTTTCGGTGTTACCTGCATGCACACAACCCAAGTACCTAGTAGTAGGGATTTCTTGTGGGGAAGCCCTAAATCATAGCAGTCTTGGAGGGTGCACCCCTCGGGGCCCCCCCAAAGCAATAAATCTCAGCAATGGCTGGGCCTTTGCGAGGCAGACATCAAGAGGGCTTTTTGAGAGGTTGTGTTGTTTGATTTTGAAGCCTGAACAACCCGGATAACCCAACACAAACCCGAACAAAAAGCGGTGCCTGGATCTTGCTCATCGACTCCTTGCGGTCTTTGGTCTCATTGACCTTCCCCTGCGGGCTGTTCGGATGAAAGACTCTGCGCCCCTCTGGTTTAGGGTTTACGGTTTAGGGGTTTAGGGTATAGGGGTTTAGGGGTTAGGGTCTAGGGGCTTTTACGGTTAAGTTTAGGGTTTAAGGGGTTTTAGGGGTTTACGGCTTACGGTCGAGAGTTTAGGCTCTAGCTTAGGGCTCAAGTTTTCGATTTCAGGCCTTCGCCACAAACTTCCACGGCTTAGAGTCTTGATTTTGATCCGGACAGGGAACGGGCTTCAGGTAGGGTCTCGGGTTTCGGCAACGTAGAGTTTAAGTTTAGGGTTTAAGCATTGAAGTTTTCGAGGTTTAGGCATTCGGGTTTGGGGGTTTAAGCATTGGGGTTGTGTGGTTTAAAATGAGGGTTATGGGGTTCAGGCATCAGAGGATTGGGGTTTACACATTAAGTTTTTGAGGGTTTAGGCATTAGGACTACAACCCAATTGTAGGAAAAGAATAGTTTAGGGCTTAACGTTTAGGCTTAGGTTTAGGCTTTAGGGCTTGCCCCAAACCGTAAGTTTAAACCCTACTAAACCCTTTTTTTAGGGGGCTTGATGCCTAAACCCCGAAACCCTCAAAGAATCTAGTATATGGTTCAGACACTTAAGAGCTTCATTGACCCTAAGCGGCATAGCTGGACCTGGGATAGATAAGGAGTTTTAGAGGCATGATCGGGTGTGCACAGTGTCACAGCCGAACTGGAATCATTCCTGGAACTAAAAGGCTATGCTGCATGTGGATCGCAACAAGGCCGGCCCCTTTTGGATATTGGCGCTGGGCTCGCTCAGCGGGGGCGAGATATGTGAAGAGGATTGCGCAAATCATCACCCACCAGATGCCACTCCGTGGATACAGCCGCGCTTTGGTCGAGCAGGTGAGTTGTCCATCCTGCAGGTCGCGTCTCAGGACCGCCCAAGGCAAACAGGCCCCGGTCGTTCAACGTCATGGCATATCAAAGGACAGTTGACCCGCAGCTCATCGCGCTTGTTTTTTACTCTCTTTAGGTGGTTTAGGCATTTAATTAGGGTCTAGGGCCTAAGGTTTTTGGGTTTTCTGTTGTATGTTAGGGCTTCTGCTTTTGGGACATAGGGTTTAGGACCCCTCTTTTAAAGTTGGGGTTGAGGCACTAGGGTCTAGGTCAGGGCCGAGGGTATTAGGGTTTAGGGTTTGTTAGGGTGTTTAGATTTTGGGGTGTTAGTAAGACTGTAGGCCCTAGGGTTTTGGTTCCGTCCTTTTGTTTGGGCTTGTGCTTTTGGGACATCGGGTTTAGGGCCCAGGGTTTTAAAGTTTTGGGATTTAGGCACTAGGGTTCAGGTCAGGGACGAGGGTATTATGGGGTTTCCCCCTCGAGTGCTCTGTGGCGGTTTGAGGTTGTGAGTTTCTTTGCAAAAGCTTGGTATACTTGAGTATACTTCCAATAAGGAACCCTAGGAATAACTAGTAGTATTCATACGAGTGCCAGTAGTGAGAGCGGCCAAGCTGCGAGAAGCGTCGCCGCGACACTCTCCTGTGCCAAGTTTTAGGGCTTTGAGGGGTCTAGGGCTTTAGGGTTCCATTAGGGCTTTAGGGTTCCATTAAGGGTTCTCGTTACGGGTTAAGCGGTTCAGAGTTTAGAGTTCAGGACTGTTTAAAGTTTGCTGTGGAAAGCTTGCGAACCCTCAGGGTATCATGATGTTTCATTGGGTTTTATCAGGCTGCACCTCTGTTTGGTATGTATGGGGTGTTATTGAGTTGTATGGGGTTTATGGAAACTTGTAGGGCCACCTAAAGGTTTTTCAGGTGGTCCATGTACCTATATAGAACTATGGTATCGTATATACGTTCACCTAAACGGCATCCTCTGTAATACCTCAAGCCCATAGTACAAACCATAAACCATAAGCCCTGAACTATGTAGGCACATGGACCATGAGGGGAGGGATGTGATCGGAGTGCACTCAATCTCCCAACCTGCCACCAAAGAAGAGTATTCAGTTTGGATTCAGGGGTTCGGGATTGGGCTCTTGAGGTCAATCGGCTTCTGGGAAGAAGCTCCGACACATCTGCGTTTAGGATTCACGATCTAAGGCCTCGAAGGATTTGGGTCTGAAGCTTGCAGCTTCGACACCTTCGAAGAGTCCATCTCGTCTCTTATCCCACACAGAAAACCACCCTGAGTCCGAGTCCCTACTAGCGACTACTGTTCTCTGTCCGTCTCTCTCTCTCTCTCTCTCTCTCTCTCTCTCTCCTCTGTCTCTCTGAGCCCTCCACACAGTAACCCTAAGTCTTCAGCCCAAGAAAGGTTCACCTTCTCATTGTGGTCGGAGTGTACACACCCTAAAAAGGTTAGAGCTTACTTAGAGGATCATGGGACTTAGTAAGTAGGTGATAACTGGGGTTATAAGTCCCCTAAGTGGGGTTATCCTAATTATAACCTGCTTATAAGCTTACTTACTAAGTCCCATGAGCCTTCAAGTACCCTAAACCCTGAACCACTCCCTCCCCGCCCCGAAGTACGACTCCAGTGAAGGCTGGCCACCTTGGCTTGTGAGTTTTGAGGGTTTAGGGTTGAAGGTTTAGGGTTAGGGTTTAGGGCGTAGGCTCAAAAGTTTAGGATTCCGGTGATTTTTTAAATGCAGTGGGCCTTTTCGGTGCTGCGACCCTGCCTGTACAGGCTTGCACAGGGCTTGGGGAAGCTGTAGCACTTGGTGACCAATAATGACTAAGAAGCGAAAGGCTTGTTCCTTTTGCTTCGTTTTGAGGTGGGCACCTACTTTAGGCTTGGCACAGTTGTGTGAAGTTGTTGTGCCAGTGTTCTGTTTTGTAGCAGCTTGAACGCTTTCCGAAGTTCTTCGAGGTTTCTACCGGTCCGAATATTTGTTCAGGGTCAATTAGTTTGCAGTGCCCTGGAGCCTTCGAAATATCCGAAATCCGTCGAAAGGCAAGTGAGATGTTCTCCTGAAAAAAAATTCTCACAGAGGCATAGCACATAGTAGCTTCATGTCGCGTCGTGGTTTAAGTAAAGAGATCCCGCATTCCTGAACGCCACAAACCAAACCATGACTCAGACCCGGGACCCTAAACTTTCCTAAGCCTTAAGCCTTAATGGTTAATTGAGGGTTCCCTCAACCAAAACTAAACCTAACCCGACTCTTCCCACAAATCCTTGGACTGGGCCCGAAACCAAGCAAGCCCTGCGCCACCGAAATTCCTAAAACCACATCACAGAAGGTATTGTTATTGTCATGTGGGCCAGTTGGGATGCTTTGGCATAGGATTTAAGTTTATGATCTCGCTTGAGAGCCCCGCTCGGTCTTAAGATCCAAACTGCAGACCCTAAACTTAAGTCACCGAAGACACCACTGCCGGTGTCGTTGACCTTAGACGGCAGTTGCAGCAGGAGTCTCTCTGCCGTTTCAAGATGAGGCAATGACAGGTACAGCCGAACCAACGGGTCCGTTTTTTTCTCGAAGATCCGAAACACACATGCACTCACTCCCTCAGTCACTCTGTCACTCTGTCAGTCACTCACTCGCTCACGGCAGACCTTGATACATCGGCCTTGAAGTGCCAATATCGAGACTACTTTGGGGCCAAAGTATATACTATTTGGGCACATGGAACCTTAGGGAGTGATTAGCCGTCAGGCTCGACACCATGAACTGTTGCGACCATCAGGGCGGCTGGCAAAAAATAGAGCCAAACACCTCAAATTAGAAATATGGCTTAAATCACGGCCCCGTATAACTTGAGGTATATTCCGTAGTTTAAGGGGTGGGGAACACTCCATGGACCTGTCCCTAGCTCGGCTTATCTGTCCTACCTTTCTACCCAACTCAAAGTTCAAGCACGTTGCGCTACAATCGAAACCCGGAGAGCAACACAAATGCTTGTTTGACGACAACACTTACAAGCACAAACTTATGCCACCAAACAGGGTTGGAGGCTTAGTGGTTAGTCGCAACAAGAATCAGACTAATCCATGCTCGTCCTAAAAGTTTCAGTGCTCCAAGGGTAAAAGGAGGGACCCTTAATAAGGACCCCTAGGCATATATCCTCAATATAGCCATTATATTCCCATGATATAGCCCCATTATAGGGTAGGGGTCCCCATTAAGGGTCCCTCCTCTTCCCCTTTGAAGTGCGAAATCTGCTGCCGTGTACTTCGAAGCAATGACCCTGACCCTGCAACCCAACCCTAAATCCTAAACCCTGAACCCAGAACCCTAGACCCCAAACCCTAAACCCTGAACCCTAAACCCTAAACCCTGAACCCTAAACCCTAAAATCTAGGGTTTAGGGTTTAGGGTTTTCGCCCACAGCGTCCAAGTACTCCCTCTTCCAGGACTTTAGGGCCTTTTTAGGTATCAAAACCATAAATAAGGACTACTACTTGGACCCTTAGGGTAGGGTACTAAACCAAAACAACCTAAACCCTCCAACCCAAGCACTCCAATATTCCGTAATAGGACTACCCCCTCACTTTGCTGCAAGAATCTTGATCAGGGACCCTGAATGTAGGGGATATCAGACTCGAACGAATCCCGAAGCCCAGACCCAAACACGAACACCCTCACAAAGGATGGGTTTAGGTTGGACACTGCCCCCATACAGTAACAGTCTATAATAGGGCTACTATTAAGGGCCGAATATATTTACATCATGAATATTATCCCCTAAACCCTAAACCCTAAACCCCTAAACCCTAAACCCCTAAACCCCAAACCCCTAAACCCTATCAACTGTTACTGAGTGGGGGGCAGTATCCAAGGTTTCGGGTCCTTCGGAGTCCCTTGGGCTTAAAGTTTAGGGATACGGTTGATGATATAAATCCTGCATAAGGGCCCCTTTTAAGGGATCTATAAGGGTACCTTTAAGGGATCTATAGGGTTTAGGGTTTAGGGTTTAGGGTTGATGATATAAATCCTGCACTACCCATAATAAGGAATATACCATAATTCCCATAGTCTAGGGTCCTTAAGGTCATGCAGGATTTATATCACAACCCTAAACCCTAAAACCCTATCGATCCCTTAAAGGAGCCCCTTAAAGGTACCCTTATAGATCCCTTTAAAGGGAACCCCAGGATTTATATCCTCAACCGTAGTAGGGCCCCGAGCCGATAGCATGGCAGCTGTGCGGCAGTCACATGGCCAGACTTTGGGCCACTCTGCCAACTGCTCTGAAGACTTTTCAAGCCCTTGGGAAGTAGACCTTATGAAATAAAGGGAACTCCAGAAAGTTGGAATATGGTTTCAGGGGTAGGATACCTTATAATTTACCATAAAGGGCTTAGGATGATCATATTTCAACTTTCTGGCTTTTACTTTAGTGTTTAAGGCTCCCTCCCAACTGGTCCACGACTGTAGGTTTCTAGGAACTCGGGTTTAGGAAGTACAAGATTGAGGGCTTGGGCTTAAGTGCGTTGGACAGCCCACTAATGGCATGGATGTACCTCTTCGCAGTTCGCGCTGTGCTTCCTTCCGCCGGAATAGTTTACAGCAGAAGCCCAAAAGTTGAAAACCGCATAGCCTCAATCCTTAAGAGTAATCTATAGGGAGTCCCAGCACCATTTGGCCTTACTCCGGTTTCCCACTTCTCGGGGTCCACTATAGGGCTTCAGGCTTTGCGGCTTCAGAGATCGTAGTTTTTGGTAGGGTTTCGTAGATACACTTCTCCGACTGCTGAGCCGTGCCATGCGACGTCAAGATGCTCTATAGGGTTCTATAATAGGTTCCCTTTAAGGGTACTATAGAGGGTTCTATAATAGGGTCCCCTTTTTGGGTACTATAGGGTTCTAAGGGCTCATCAACAGAAGTGCGCTTGGACATTTCGCCGGTCTACAAGCCTGGGCTTTGAAGTAACCAGGGGGAAAACGCGATATTATAGACTTTTGTTTCATATTCGTTCCTTGAAGGAACAAGTCCAAAGAAAGTGTTGAGGTATTGCACTCCAAAGCCCGAAGGCTGAACGTCCAAAAACCTAAACCAACCTGGGCCCACCCCCACCCCCATCCACCCCCCCCCCACCCCCATCCCCACCCCTAAACCCTAAACCCTAAACCCTAAACCCTCAACCGTCCCCCCCCCCACCCAATCTTTGCATGTTGCCCTGAGGTTTTAATTGGACCTGTGAGGCGGCCTAAACCCTAAACCCTAAACCAAGGTTTAGGGTTTAGGGTTTAGGGTTTAGGGTTTATACCCTAGAGCTTAGAAGCTGCCCCCACCCTGTAATAGTGACTATAAGGATTCTAGATGATTATATTAGGGCCCTATTATATTCCCTTTTATACCACTATTACAGGGTGGGGGCAGCTTCTAACCTATAGCCCTCATCCCAAAAGCTCAGAACCATGTTAGGGGTTTAGGGTTTAGGGTTTAGGGCCCTCATCCCAAAAACTCAGAACCGTGTTAGGGACTGAGGGTCTCGGGTTGAGGACACGCTCATCAGGCTTCCGGAACAAATCTGGCCAAATGCCCCGTCCTTAAGGACGAAATGAGCCCTAAAAGGGTTTAAGGTTCATATACCATATAGGGATTCATAGTATATGCGTATAGGGCCCCTACTTTTAAGGGTCATTTGGTCCTTCAGGCTTGTCGAACAATTGAAGGTCTGATGTAAGAATATCGCGTGAGCACGATGAACCACTTCTTTGGAATTCACCACCTCGCTCCTCTACACGGTGCAACTACAGCAACAAGTACCACAACTGCTGCTGCTACTACTACTACTACCACCACTACTGCTACTGCTACTGCTACTGCTACTGCTACTGCTACTGCTACTGCTACTGCTACTGCTACTGCTACTGCTACTGCTACTACTACTACGACGACGACGATGACCAAACAAATGCTTTCCAACCTGGATCGGAGAGCGATGTCATTGCATCACTCCTTTGTGCAACCTGCCGGCTTTCGGCACGACTCCTCACGATGCTAAGACTTACGGTTTATGATACAAACCCCTCATTACCGTAATGGCCCTAGGCCATGGGAATTATGGCATATTCCTTATCACGGGTAATGCAAGGTTTATATCATCAACAGTAAGACTTATGCCACTACCCGAGCACCACACTGTTCGCATATGGCAAAAGATACGAACCGCCTAAGCCCTAAACCATCCTAAACCCTCCACCCCGAACCCCCAAATAACCACTAAGCGCTACGTTCAACTGTAAGACCTTGAACCCTATCGCAAATGAACCCTCCAAGGAACCCTAGAACCTCTTAAGACGCTAAAACACTATTCCAGTGAAACTCTGGCCATTGCCATTGCCAAGGCCGCATTTGCAAGCCAAGGCCACGCGAAGGCAGCGCCACTGCGCCAAGGCGGTGCCTCTTTCTCTTAGGGTTTAGGTTTCGTGATTTAAGGTCTAGGGTCGCGGGCTTAAGGTTTAGGGTTAAAACTTGGGGTTTAATAATTTAACGCTTGGCGCTCGAGGTTTAAAGAATACGGTTTGGGGTGCCGATAATTTCATCAAGACTTTTGTCCAGTGAGGTTTTGGAGTTGTTTCTGATACTCCGTTAGGCTTCCAAGGAGGGTTCTGGGAGCTTCTGTATCCTCTTTCTTTCCCAAAGCATCCGGGGGTTTCCGGAAATCGGGGTACCTTATTTTGAGGTCCTTATAATAAGGATCCTACTTTTTAGGGTACTATATTAGGAGGGTCCCCTATTTTCGGAAACTCCCATACCGAAACCTCACCTAGAACGATGTGGGGAGGCCCTGGGAGGCGTGCCTAAATGGAGGTCCCTTTCCGGCCACCTGCATGAGAAGCCACATCCGAAAATAGGGGACCCTAATATAGATAGTACCAGGATACTAAATATAAGGACCCCCCCAACAAGGCACCCCAAATTTTCGGAAACTCCCTTTTAGTTCAGAAAGCCCGTCTCCTGTAGCCGTAGACAGAGCTTCAGAAAAGAAAACTAACGAAACGCTTGTATAAGTCGCAACCTGCTTGCTATACGGTCCGAAACAAGGTAATAACTAAGGTAGTTACCATTGAGGAGCAGCCGATTTGTCTCGGGCATAAGGTTCAGGGTCGCCCCGAAACCCTGAGATGAACTGTGTTGAGGGTTTAGGCTTTAGGGGTTTAGGGGTTAGGGGTTTAGGGGTTCAGGGGTCTGCTGTGCCTCTTGCACGCCTGCGGCAGCGGCGCAGAAGCCATGCGGCGCAAACCCGTAGACAAAGCGGAAGTTGTACCTCCGCTTGTGTCTTCGAAAATCCACCTTAAAGCCCGAACTTGTCTTGACTTGCAAGTTCAGGATACTTCTCATGGAGGTTCAGAATAGAGAGGATGGCCATGCAGAGCGGATCCGTGTCTCAATACCTCTTGCGCTCGCAGACTTATTCACGAAAATTATATAACGATAACGCAGCGCAGGCCGGATATCCATCTTTCGCTCAAACTGCCATTCACCTTCACCAAAGCATGCCTGTGAGAGTGTGTAACCACAGTGCAGTCTTCAACTCCGTGGCACCTAGCCAGACCTGCGCAAGACTACAGCCTATCTTGGATCCCTCGCAACAACAACAACCACCCCCGGCGCCCTAAAGCCCAAACCCTACGAACCCTGAGCCGCCCTCGAGTTCGACCCGTAGCTCTGAAGGTCGCGCCCATAGACTTTGCGTCTCGACGCTGAGACGAAGAGCACCTTCAAGGTGTCGGGGCCGCCGATGCTTTAAGGGCCCTACTTAGACCCCCAAACTACCCTCTAATATACCCTATAAATACCCACTAGTGTTGATGATAGAACCCTGCATTACCCAATACAAGGAATATACCCGAATTCTCATAGTCTAGGGTCATTAAGGTAATGCAGGATTTACATCACAACCCTAAACCCTAAAACCCTATCGATCCCTTAAAGGAGCCCCTTAAAGGTACCCTTATAGATCCCTTTAAAGGGAACCCCAGGATTTACATCATCAACCATATTAAGGTTTCACAAGGGCTCCGTAGGGCTTACGGTTTTACGGTTTACCTGGACCCGGAAGAACCTACCCTTTTAAGAACGTATATAAGGAAGCCACATTAAGGAACCCTAAAAAAAGTATGATCTTCAGGGGTCCAGTTAGGGTTTGGGGCTTTATATGGGCTTGGGGTTTAGGGGTTTAGGGGTTGATGGTTCAGGGCCCCCGATGTTTTAAGGGTCTTTTGCATTGTAGGGCTTGGGGATTTAGGGTTTTGGCGGGTTAGGGTTTAGGACTTTACGAGGGCTTCATTGGTTTAGGATTTAAGGGTTCGGGGTTCAGGGCCCCCCATGTTTTAAGGGTGGACAAAGTTTAGGTGCTTTAGGGTTTCCGGACGTTGTAGCAAGCGGGGAGAAAAAAGTATACACGTTTACTTCATAATGGTTCCTTGAACTGAAGGTCAAAACAAAAATCAATAATGGTTCAAGTATGGTACTGCAGAACCCGGGTTTATGGTTTTTCGGGTTCTTGATTAAGGATTTTGTGGGTTTAGGGCTTCAGGGCCCCCAATGTTTTTAGGGCTTAGGGTTTGGGGTTATGGGATGCTGCAGGTTCCCAGGGCTTGGGGTTTCGAACAGTGTCTGGCTCCACGGTACTACGGGAACCTGCGGTGGCCTTTGCGGTCTTGGTTGGTTGCTGGCTCCGCCGCACTGTGCCTAAAAAGCTAGGAGTAAGGGCATGGGAGTCTGTTGCGGAGGATTGCCCTTGCAGCCGCCTGCTGTCTGAGTCTTCGAAACTTCATAGGGTCCAGGTAGGGTTTAGGGTATTTTCCGGGTCTCGAGACGCCAACATGCTGGCACAGAAAACCCAGCCCTAATGACCCCCCCGACTGCCTGAAATCCATGAAACACGATGCTGATGCTATAAAATGCCATGGACATGAAAGTATCCGATTCAAACCTGCACAAGCACCCTAGAAGAAGCAGTCAAAGGCACTGTAAGCCCTGCACACCGACAGCACTAACCCTAAACCCAGCCGGGAACCTCCCACAATTCGTCGGTAAGCTTTCGGACCGCGAGACCGACTGCGTTTTCAACATCCACCTGCGAGTTTCAGGTTTGAGGTTAAGGGTTTAAAGCTTCGGGTTAAGGGTATGTTTGGGGCAGGGTTTCAAGTTTCGGGTTCAGAGTTAACCGGACGAAACACCCT